TAGCCAGCCTTCCTCGCACCCGAGCATTGCTGCACTGCTCTGGGTTACCTTCAAAGACCGAGCTCCTTTGCTCATAAACACAGAAACAGCTGCTCTCTACAGTATGCCTCTCTTTCCACCCCTCCACCTCCTCCTCCTCCTCTCTTTCAAAGTCAAAAGTGCTTCACTTGTTAATGATAGAAGCCATTTCTTCACATCTGTACCACACAGGCATTTACATCCAAACAAAAGATAATGTGTGGTTTGCTGCTCTCCCACTTTCTTCCTGTTTGTCCCTGACTGTGTAACACTCTTTCTTATCACTGCAGTCGTCTGAGCTTGAGAGTGTACTCCTTCAGATGTGTCTGTCTGCTCGAGATGTGGTCCGGGTTGTTGTTAAGCATATAGGCAGCTTCTTTTCATCTTTACAGTGGCAGCACGAGCTAAGAATGGGCTCAGGTTTATCACCAGCCTAAAGAGATGCCACGGCAAATGTTCCTCTATGTCTCATCTCAAGCAGCTCAATTATAAGCACAGTGAAGCAAGAGGATGTCATGGGCCTGGATAATTCAAACACATTGGCAGAATGAGAAAAGAAAAGGATGGAGGTATATTGACAGAGAAATTCACAAACTGAGACACTTAGAGGTGGTTCACACAGTGGATTGGAAATTGGAAAAGCAGGATCTGAGCAAGGAGGAGATAGAAAATGGAGCTTTGACTGAGTGAAGGCAGAAGGTCTCTCTCCATTTATTTAGTCTAAGAGTGATACTACATAGAGAACCCAGATGTTCCGTTATATCCTGTGATACTTTCTTTAAAATGGCCTTAAGTCAAGTGTCTGCTTTCAGTGATACAAAGCAGGACTTTGTTGAGGGCCGTCCACACTGTTCATTTGTTTGGTTAAAAAGACCGGTGATGCATTAAGTTCACGTTCTCCTTAAGTAAATAGTTTTTCACTTGCCAACTGATCCAAGGAATCGTGTACGAACAGCAAATTAAATGCTGTCCCAGACAGAAATTTCTTTTGTGGAATTAGGAAAATTCCCTTCTTGTCTCCTCACTCGATTGAATATAGTAGGTGTCCGGTCAGATTGGGGTACAATCTGAGCACAATTTCCTCTTTTAGGTGAGATGTGTCAGCTGTAATCAGTGAAGGACAGGCTGGGATGGAGCTATTGTTTCCTGCTGGTCCTGGGCTCATCCTCAGCTCTGTGTGGGCACTAATGAAGAGAGGCATGTCGCGCTGGGATAGTTTACCCGCCTCCTCTCCTGTGAGTTGCGGACCAGAGCCAATCTGTCAGGGAAACATTGAGTGAAATTGCCCTGTTGTACAGCAATGCTTGGTGACAGCCACTTGCAGACTGTCAGCCACCGGAGTGATGCTACCACCATGTATTGACAAGCAAATTATAGTCTCCCAACACTCAAATGCATCATGGAAGATTCATTTACATCCATCAGCTTTAAGCCTTTGTTACCTTGTTGGGTTTTCTTAGAAAGAAAAGGCGGGGAACTGTGGGGGGTGAGGATCCCAGACTGTTATGACAGAGGAGATTGTGCAAAGGCTGCGTGGCCACCATTAACACTGACGGAGCGGCTGGCCTGTCTGGCTGATGGCTGATCACATTACCTCCGCAACATTGTTGGGAAATAATTCCACCAATAAGACAAGTTTTTAAGATTCATGTATTGCACAATCTGAACTGAGTAAATTGGTGAAAATTATACCTTGCAGGGCAGCTGACAGGAAGAGAGATTTTAATTAGTAGGAGCAGCCAATTCAACCATATGCGAGTGGGATTTTGTGTCTGCTGGTGTGTGTGAGTGCATGAGGAAGACCAACAATGGGCTTGGAGTTGAAAACTATTTTAGTACTATTTAAGTAACATTAAAAAGGAGCTCACGATTCATGAAATGTAACATTCCAATAAAAGAAGGCACAAATTGTTTTTCAAATGCAAATTAAATTAATTTTATCTCTTTTTGTTTGTTTAAAACAATCCATCCATCCATTATCTTTTACCCGCTTCTTCCATTTTGGGTCACGGGGGTCACCGGTGCCCATGTCCAGCAATCACTGTGCTAAGGGTGGGGGACACCCTGGACAGGTCTCCAGTCCATCTCAGAGACACATAGAGACAAACAACCATTCTCTCTCTCACACACACACCTAGAGACAATTTAGAGTTACCAATCAGCTTAACATGCATGATTTTGGTCTGTGGGAGGAAACTGGAGCACCCAGAGAAAACCCACGCATGCACGGAGAGAACATGCAAACTCCACCCAGAAAGGTCCCTGGACCAGGATTTAAACCAGGGACCTTCTCACTGAGAGGCAGCAGAAATCAGTCTGTTCATTCAAAAAAGTAAGTTTTACTATTCAAACCTCAACACAACACATTTCTCCTTCTAATTTCAGCAAACTGAATAATGTTTCTTACTGTGGTGTGGTTCATATTATTATTCTTTTGCAGTTCAGAACCCTGTTCACTAGTTTTACTCCAAAGAAGCGTACCACAGCCCTAAAAGTGAGGATCCATCCTTAACCCAACTCCATGTCTGCGTTGATTTCTTTTAATCATAGCAGACTCCTGGTGCTTTGTCGAGGAAGTGGTGGCAGTCACGTGGTTTGTTGATCCCAGCAATGTAGAAAAGGGCATGTTTGACTTGCCTTACTGTTTTGAGAGGAATCGCTACGTAGGGTAAATAGCAGCCAGCAGGCAGAATATGTGACGGGCTGACAGACTTCAATTAATGGAAAATGTACCTCTTTGTGTTTACTGTGTTCTGTAAAGGTCAGCCGAGTCATGGTCTTGGAGGCACTGTTTTTGCCCATTCCCAGGGTTATATACATAATAAGAATTAATGACTCTAGACCTGACTCCCCTTCTCACCCCAACCTCAAATATACGACTGTCTCATCTGACCTCGTGTTACCCTATAAATAGCCTTGTGCTTGTCTGTCTAAACTGACACGCCCTTCCTGTGAACTTCACCGTGACACACCAGCTATCATTCACTCCAGAAACATACTCACAAAAAAATATACTTTTACTTTTACAGCCATGCATTTTGAAGCATGTGTAAACTTATTCTTCACCTAATATGCTTCTGACATCTCACCTTGTGGCTGTATAATGACACACAACTCTTTAAGGCTTTTTGCATGCATTGTTGGAACCTGCAAAGGCTTGTCAACATAGATGGTGTTAGGATGAGAAGGACAGACGCCATGTTTGTCAGTGTGCAAAGTTCTGTCCATATTGCTACGTTCTCTTGTTCACTCACATCATTTTCTCTGCTGTTAAGCATCATGGGTTTTGGCTTTGAAATAACTGTATACTGTCACCAGTTAGTCATGGAGTTCCTCAGGGTTCAGTGCTTGGACAAATACGCTTTACCTTTTATATGCTTCCATCAGTATTGTTATTAAACAGCATGGGATAAATTTTCAATGTTATGCTGATGACACACAGTTATATTTGTCCTGAAACCCAATGAATGCAATCAGCTACTTAGACTACAATCATGTCTTAAAGACATAAAAACCTGGATGACCCTAAATTGTTTTTACATATGAATGTTTCTGTTCAGTGCCCTGAGAAGACTTCTATTGTGACATGACACTTTATAAATAAACTGAATTGAACTGAATTGAAATTGTCATTGACAAAGCAGCCATGGTCTCTTAACTATATGCAGGCAGAGATGCTTTTTAGCATTTTTTACTTCACTCTTTGGTTTCAACGAACACAGCTGTTTTCTAGCTTAAAAACAGGAGCTACAATTATTCAGAACTGCAACAGAAACTGGAAATTTAACAAGAAGCAAAACCACACAAATGCATAACGTGCCAGATTTCTATTTCTAATTATGTACATTTTTATGTAAATTAATGCCTGTAAACATTTAGAAAGACAATCATTGTCACCACTTTGGGAACTAAGATAATATCATGGCATGTGAAAAACAAATCTCACTTCATACTGACAAAAATGTACACAACAACAACAAATGAACAAACAAAGGACACTACAGGACATGAAAAAGAAGTTGACACACAGTCATCAAAGAGCAGGAGAAACTGATAAGGATGTTCAAAATGTGGAAGAGAAAAAATCCCTGGCACAGAGAACGGGTGACAGTTCGGAGAATGAGAACCAAGTGTGCAAAGATAACAGAAAGCAAGCAAGAAAACAAAGAGAATTACCATGAAATATGAACAATAAATAACTTAGTTTTGATTTTTACACTATTCTAACTGTAAATCACATGCGCAAGATCAAAACTAAACCGCAACACAAAACCAAAAACACAAAAAAAACGTCAAGACACGCACTCGTGGACTATTACACATAAACTGAAGGATGCAATCATAGCCATATTTATTAGAGTAATAATTTTAAGAACAGAATGTAGATAATTATCTACATTAAGCATTACTGCCTGGGGTTAAGCCCTGACCTGAGTTCAGCATTTTCAAATAGTGTGTGAGAAGATTCCTGGAGCAGCCCGCAGGGCTCGGGGCCTATCTCAACATATTCAGCATCTTGTAAACCTCTCCTCAGCCTTACTTAGGACGATTTACCACAACTTATTTGTATTCACACTCATTTAGGTTTTTTTTTCCCCAGGCTTTATTCTGAACAGTTTTCCCCACAAAGCTAAATTAAATATTAATCTTTATTAAACAAAGGTGATAGTGGGGAGCTTTTTTCCACAGCCAATTGTCCTGTGATAAATTCACTGGCAGATTATTAAAGTAGCTACAGTGAGTCTCATTCTCTCTAATAACTATTATCTTCCAAACTCCTCTGTGTGGCAGAAGGAGAGGGGATAAATCTCGTCTAAAATGGGGATGAATTACTTTTGTAAGGTGATAAGCGTGTGTGAGCCAAGGGCCTCCAGGATTATTTAGTGAGCAGCTCATTACTTGGCATACAGCTGCTTAGCCATCCTTTTTGCCCTGAGCTTGGCGGGCGTCCCAAGCATTCTTTGTCATGGAACTGTGCATACCTGAAGCTGGAGGGGGCTGAGTCCTGACGCTGCTGCAGCTGCCATTGTGGATGGAATGAACTGCACCGGGTAGTTATCACCTGTCAGAGAAGGGGAGAGAGAGAAATAACAATGCATACAGGTTAAGACAATGAGCTGGCCCACGGTGTTCAGGCAAGTGCCAACATGGATCGTGGACCCGTCTTTGCTTCTGCCACAGTGGTATGGCACGTTGCACTGAGCCCTCGGCTTTGAGCCCAAACATCTGCATTAACAAAAGGTGGCTTGACTGGAGCAGGATTACTTACAGGAACATTGCATACCATTCCTTCTTGCACACTATTCATAATAAAATACATCATGGGAACACAAGAGAGTCAAACAAGTTTGGAACTTTTTAGTTTTATTAGTTCGTCCAAGTGTGTGCATGTGTTTTGATTGCGCTTCACAAAGCTTGTTCGTTTTCAGTTGGTAAGTTTGTAAAAGCTTAGGCATGTTCTCTCAGGCAGTTCCTACATCTGTGGACTTGTCTGCCTATTGTTCAACACATTGTTTGTTTGACTGATGGCTTTGGCAGCACAGTGAATGTGCTTGTATGCAAACTGGTTAGAACAAGTGTGTAGTCACAATAACAAGGGAGAAAAAAGAAATCAACACATTCTTATCTCATTTATCACTGTACATAACAAGGAACTGGTTTCTCAAAAAAAGAAAAAAGAGCACTGCTCATTACTGTTTCCCTTCCATAAGCACATTTATCAGACAGGCGTGTAAAAACAGTTTGATATGAGTGATAGGGCCGAGGCTTTTACACTCAACTTTGTGCTTCGAGGTGGACAGAACATTTCCAATGAGACGGCACGGCAGCCGTACAGAAAAGGCTGGGTTAGGTTCGAGAGGGGGGAGGCGGAGTGTTCAGTGAGAGCAGGAGGGGGTTGTTGGCCTTCGCTCAGACCCCACTTCTGCCTGTCACTTCTCCTCACAAACATATGGAGCCATTAAGCCACAGACAAGGTAAATGTATGTAGCTTCTCTTTCACTTGGCCCCCGTTCGCACGTCTCACTCTGCAATCTTGTACAGCACTGCACAATGTGATACAGGCCGTGGAAATTCAATCCCCATTTAGTAGCAAATAAAATCACACAGCAGAAGTGGTTTCAAATAGTGCTAGGTTAGATGTACAGGGGGGTGCACTGTGGTTATTTCCACACACCCTCTTTTTGGTATTGCTTTCTCTGTGTCTCATTTGCTCGCTGCTGACTGTGACGTAGGATTTGAGGATAATAAATGGCTAGATGTCTTTAGATGTCATGTGAAACCGGGAAAGGGTCATGTGCCACATTATGACTTCTGGGGGGTGTCTCGCTTAGCAAGGTCTGGGTTTTGGGTGCGCACAGGCTGTGTGGAGGAACCGGTCTTGAGTTTGGCGTCACACACTGCTGAAAATAAATTACAATATTTTTTTCTTAACTGAAAATGGATGTTTTCATGTCCAGAGTCTGGCCTCTAAATGCTTTGGCTGGAAATAGTGCATGTGACGTCACCGCTACATTTCCAGGTTCATGTGGTGTCATGAAACATAAGTCATAGATGTGCTGAGGGTTGACAGATGGAGCTGAGGTCTTTCCTAGGTTGCATAAAATCATCATGAATAAAATGTACGATTCAAAACCTGAAACCTGATCTTTTTTGTCCCCTTGCAGGCTTTAATTTTAGATTGTCAAGAGTTTGAAGAAAAACACACTTAGCAATAAGACAAAGAATGCACTTGAATTGATTTGAAAAAATTGCTACAGATTTGGAGACGGTTTTAACTTTATGAATTAAAACACATTGAAACTTTGAAGTCATAGTGGGAGGGAGAAAGGCAGAACAACTGAGGACTCCGGGGTCGTTTTGCAGCTCCATTAGAATCTGCCGTGTCTGTGTGAACAGCGCAAACAGACTGAAGAAGTTCAACTAGAATCTATTTGTTTAAAAGATGACTTGGTGTCCCTATGACTGTGCTTGTCTACCATGCAAGCTCAGGTCATTGAGCACAGCCAGCGCACACAGTGATGACCTGCCACCACTGAGCCAGAATGACACTGTTGCCATAAGAGCGCCACAGGGTTGGGGGGACATAAGCAGCGGTCCCTGTGAGCTGTCTCATAATGATAACATCGGATTAGTCTGCCTTAGTCTTGGAAGTGAATGCATGGCCACACACTTCACGGTGAAAAGACACCCGAGCATCCTGTAAACGCTGCAGGTGGCAATGATAGCATTGTACTCTCTGCCTATATTGTGCAGAAATAATAAAAGCTTTAGATGCTCTGACTTTAAAAAAAAAAAAAGTCATTTTCAGACCCTCTTTGCCATTTCTTCATGAACCCATGAATTATGCAGGTATCTTACACATTGTGACCCCTGACCATGATTCCATAATAGCTCTTGTTATTCGAGCTAAAACATTTTTCGTGTCAAATCTATTGCGAAAATGCGCAGTGGTAAAAGACTCGCCCTCAGGCACTTTGTTTGAGCTGTCATGGCTCCATAGTTTCAAAATAGCTGACTTTCTTTTTCATCCTGTGGTTCTATACTTAATTCATTAACTGCTCTACCACACCTTTTAATGCTCTGTTGTGAACCTGCTGACTTCTGAGTCTTTATTTTTCTTTCCCTATCTAGAGTTATTTTATAACAGAAAAGAGCTTTTTTCTGTTTACTCGTAGATCAGTGATATTCACACGTAATGTGTAGTTCAGGAGCTAGAAAACCTTTTTCTCTGGTAGGAAAATTCAGTTTTGGTCTAATTAACTAAACAATAGACAGATACAGACAGATGAGTAAGCCTGGAGTCATTTAGGATTTATGACTGACACCATTAAGTTACACACTAATCTTCCTCTTCTTCTTTCAGTCTTTCCCTCTTCAGAGGCTCCACAGTGAGTCCTCCTCCATCTCTGTCCTCTGCATCCTCTGTCCTCACTACAACTACCTCCATGTCCTCTCTAACTGCATCCATGTGTCTTCTCTTTGTCTTTTTCCTGACATCTACATTTCTAACACCCTTCTGCCAATATACCCACTGTCCCTCCTCTGGACATGTCCAAACTACTGTCCCTCCTCTGGACATGTCCAAACCATCTCAGAGTGTCCTCTCTTAACTTTATCTCCCAGTTGTTCAACCTGTGCTGTACCTCTGATGATCTCATTCCTGATCTTCTCCATCCTTGTCTCTCCTAAGGAGAACCTCAACATCTTCATTTCTGACACTTCCAGTTCTGTCTCCTGTCTTTTTGTCCTTTTTGTCTCCCGACTTAACATATAAAACTTAGAGCTTTGTAAAACTGCTACAAGGCATCAATCAACTGTCAGTGTTTCAGTTACTTAATATAAACTCACTCTGCAAAGGCTTTTGGGAAAACGTGTTATTGGACCTTAAACGGTGTTTTCTTTAAAAAAGCGATTTCGACCTGCAAACTTCTGAGAGTTGATTTCATATTGATGGCAGGTTTCCAAGATCTATTGCTCCATGCAGACCAGAACATTTCCAACTCAAGTCCAGATTTAGAGATGTGACCTCCCCGAACGATCGTTTGAACAGAACTTCACACTGGACAATAAGAACCAAGTTGCAGACAGTAAACAGCTGTTCCTAGTTTTTTATGTTGTCTCCTCACAATTTCTTCATGTTTTTTCCGTCAGTCCCACAGACAAATGCTCCCCCTTTGCATTTGCACTGAGACAAATAAAAACAGGCAAAGGGGAGGAGTGCAGCACCTCAGGAGCGGGAGGGGGTTTCCCACTTGACAAATCACGTAGTACGGCCCTGACGTCATCACGTACGGCATACATGATGATGTATATCCGCACGTGATGATGTCACTCGTTCAAAATTTAGCAGCTCTATGAAAGTGAGCTGATCATCAAGATCCAGTTCATCCCCTCTCTAATGAAACTGTTCCCTCAGTCTCTTCCAGGTTAGACATAGAACAGAGTTCCTGAATCGTAAATCTCTTTCAAACTTTCATGTTACCTTTTTTTTTTTTTTTAATGAATGTACAAAAAATAATAACATATCAAGCTGAGAGTGATGGAAGAGTTAGCAACGCAAGCATACCTGGCTTGTAAGACATCCCTGGGGGGAAAAGAAAGCCTTGCTGCGCGGCTGCTGCTGCTGCTAGAGTGCGCTGGTCGTGTGGAAAAATGGGGATCATGAGCGGAGGCATGTGACCCTGGACCTGCTGAACAGATAGGGAGCAGAGATCAGAGACAGGCCTCAGCACCGGCATGGCACACAGAAACTCAGAGCCTTCTCAGGGGGAGGCTAGATCACAGCTCCCCCTAATGCGTGATGACAAGGGGCTGTGCTGCAACGGCAGCTCTCCTGTGCTCGCACAATACATGGTCAGACTATTGCCGCTCCTTATCCAAACCCCAATTTCACCTTAGCACATCAAAGGTCTCACATCAGTACAGCATCATTTGGAGGAAGTGCCATGCAGGACAGAAAGTGTACAAGTACTGGAGTGTTTCGTGGCTCCTGTGGCGCAAATACTGCCCTGCACACGTTGAAAGAAACGTTTACAGTGACTCCGGCTGTTTCACTAACTGCAACGTTTACTCAGTTGCTGAGATAAACCTAATAAAAGTTCAATGAAATTTCAAAAACACACACTTTTAGAAAAAAAAGACAATCGAATGTATAATCTTTGTTTAATAATAAAAAACTTGCTGATTTTATTTAACGTTCAGCAACAACCCTGCTGCTGATTTACCCATATAAACTATATAAACAGACTCCTTACATTTGCTGTGTCAACAGTAGTGGAGCAGCTTACGTTCCCAAAGTGGTGTGTGGGGTTTTGCCAACATGTCGCAAGCCCAATTTTTCTGTCATTCCCAGCTTCCTGAGACCCTGTGATTGGGAGCAGCCAGGGCGCTGCGGGCTTGTGAGGGTTAATCCAGCATCGAAGCAGATCACCTCAGGGGAACCAGGCTGGAAAATGGGTTAATAAAGGTCACCCCCCAAAATAAACACTTTACAGAATGTTTCCCCATTTATCCCCCCTTAAAATCAACTCGCAATAAAACAGGTCTGGGTGCAATTACTGCTGCTGCATTGGGGCATGAAATCAACCTGTCCCGTGTTCTGCTGCGACCTCGACTTCTTTCAGCACGGACCCTTTACAGGAACAGTTGGACCCAGTTTTTCCCATAGCTAGCAAGCTAAATTCACTTAAGACAACTTTATTGATTTGTCCCGAGGTGCAAAGATTGAAAACTAAACAGTCATTTCATGTCTGCTGAGCTTTTACTGAAGTGCAGGTGCTGAAGTTACAAGACAGAAGAATAGAAAAATAAGTAACTATAAAAAAGGTAATTAAAACAATCTGATGTCGAAGAAGAAAAAATAAAACCAGCTGAGAAAACTGTGACAAATGTCCTAAAATGTATATATATATATATATTATTATTATTCATAGGGAACATGTTCCAAGTTTCCAGGCTGAATGAATGAAAGATGGAGTTTGGCCTTGCTTGTATGGAACATATGGAAAAACACAATAATTAATGTCACAACATGAGGCAGGGCAGAACAGGCGGGGTTCAGGGAGGACACTGGGGAACACAGCATTTCTCTGTCCATTTATTTAGACTGGTAAAACAGATGGAGTTTGTTGCTGAACATACAGTAGTCAGAGAGCAGAAAGCCTTAAGTCTTTGACTTGTGGTTAAAAATTGTGCCACAGCTTTAATCATTCTTTTTAGTCAAATACACCAAAATGTGCAAAAACTGAGCTAATGAACTAATGCAACCAAACTGTATTAGAGTCTAAACTCCATGCATTTACATGAAACTTCAGTTAAAAGCATCCGATACATAACTGGATTTTCCTCGTAGCACCACTAAATGATAAACTTTAAGTGATACGATTTTATCTGGGATATCAGCTTTTATTACTGTTATTATTTTAAAATATGGAGCAGAATATACAATGTTCACCGAGGCGAGGGCAGAGAGGAAATGTGCGCTGAAGGGGAAATAAATGCATTGAGTGTGAATGGCTGTGATTTGCAGTAATGAGCTGTGAGCATTAAAGTTTAATTTACAGCAGCTAATGTCTGAGAAAGGCAAATCAAATTCTGAGGAGCTTCAAGGTGTCAACAGAAAGAGGAGGCTAGGTGAGTTGTCAATTAACAGCTGGTGGAGCAACTGAGCAGCTTCTAACCCATTTAGTTTCAGGTGTTTTAAAAGTTGACTGTTAAAGTATGAGAAAATTAAATAAAATCTAAAAAAACATTTTAGTTCAGCTTCCTCTGTTACTACAAACCCGACCCTGCGCCTTTAAGAGTTACCCTCAAGTTCATCTATGTATGGGCTGAGTGCCCAGGACATTTCTACTGCCAAGATGATCTTGAGGAGTTGGAGAATGAAGTGGAGCAGATGTGAAGGGTGGGGGTTGGGTGGGGGTGCATTCGAGCGGCGTCCTCCCTTCTTCTCGTAAATACAGGAGCATTGTTCTGCTGGCACTGCTCTTCCTTTGTCTTAGCACTGCTAAGTACTGGATAATGTCATTTCACACCATCTGCCCCCAGGCTTCATTAAAAATACATGAATGGGCCATCTTATGAGGAACAGGTGCTATTGTTTGTCCCTCAAGACCCGGCACTAAGGATCTGACTCGGAATACTTGAAGAGGAGCATCTGTAGTGATCAGTCAGACAGACTTGGCCGAGGCCCTCGTCTCCGCAGCGCGCTCTCCAACAGAGGTTTCCAGGGGAACTCAGCCTCCTCGCAACACGTATCATCAATTCAGATGACCCGATGAAGTCTGTAACAGGCCAGCAAGCTAGCTGTTTTCCTCCTGAGAAGATGCTGTGTTTTCATAAATACACTCCACTTGTTCAGCGAGAAGGATACTATACAAATGCCTAATTGGAAGGTCGGTGAGAGCCGTACAACCGAAATGAAACCTATTCATAATTTGCACTCACAAAAACACCAAATATCTTCTAAAATGTAACCGATTCATTGTTTTTCTTTTTCATCTGCCACCAGATTTTGTATTGCTCCTTTTACATTTAACATTATGTCTGAAAATGAAATATTTATGGTATTTTAGGCAATTAAAATAGAAAATATATATTTTAACAAGCCTTTTGAGTACAACTAATATACTACATGTGTCAGTGCTGTTGCATTATTGATAAATGCAAAAAGAAACCTATAAGAAAACACCTTTATGAATCCAGGCAGCTAAAGTCTCGGTGCAAATGTAGACGTACAGCCCGTTACAGCTCTCGCTGGAACCCTGTCAACACTCGTGCTCCTCACTGTCTGTTTCAGGATCTACAAAGAACGTGGGCGGTTGAGGGGTGGGGGCTGTGTGGGGTCAGAGCTGCCTCACTGCCTTCATGTGAGGTTTGCTCCTGAATGAGTTTAAACAAAAACTGACAAAGTTTTTTTCAACTATTAGAATTAATTAGTCTTAATAAGATTAAAATACAAAGGGACAAACAGATATTTTGTTGTCAGTGTAGTTTAATGGAACCCTCGATTTTTATTAATTGCCTCATGACACATTTAGACACGCATTTCAACCAACTCCTTAATCTTGAATATGATCTATATTCATTAGCATGAGGGGATTAATAAAGCATTTTACAAACCAATGCATACAAACAAAACTGAAGGTGATAAATTTTAATTCTGAGACACCTCTTTCAAGAAGACATCTCATTTTAATACAAATAATTATGACACTTAAGTAGATGTTAGATCCAAACTCCTGGATGAATTACTTTTACACGTTTTCTGTCTGAGGAGTTCAGTCATATCACAGCGAAGACTCCAGCTGTTGCTGTAAGAACCGATAGTTCGCACTTTGTATCCTCCCGTTTTTCCTCCCCGCAGAGCTGCGCACCGAGCGCCTGCGTGTAGAAATCACCTTTTGTGATTTATTTAAAGCAGAAGGGATTCTGAGCTTGCTGGCAAATCTGGCCATGCCCCAACACTTGCACACACACTTAAAGTGACACTAGACAGCAGGATACAGCTGCCACTGTGTCCACAGTCTTATTGGTGCAGTCTAACCAGGAGGAAAATTACCCAGCGGACGCATTTCTGCTGAATATTTAACTTAACAATCACCTCCTGTCTCTCCACTGAAACAATCAGCAGTTCTCTGAGCACGTATTATTGCTTCTCTGCTGCTTGCTTCAGTTTTCCATGTGCAGATGCATGCACTGATCAACAGAGATGTGATGGAGTTTGGATTTGTCTGTAACTAACGGTAAGCAGACAAATGTCGATACGATTTTCAAGCAGACTTTGATGCTCCAGACTCCTGCTTTTGAACGAAGGTCCTCATATTACCACCCACTCAAGCGAAGCACATTATTCCTGCTCGTCTGCTCGGAGGATTAGAACTGGGAGGGCAAACACACTGGAGGTCACCAACAAAGGGCCCTTGTCTTTATCAAGTCTCTGACCTTTTATCATAACTTCCTTTTGAATCTGAATCTATTTATGGCACAAACGTCAAAGATGAACCACAGGCAAGAACTGCTTATTGGTTTGACAGTACAAGGTTTAGTGCAATAACCACAGATTCCAACAAAAGGAGTTTTTTTTATTATTTTGACTGAGTCTACGTATAATGGCACATTTATCTGTGTGGTTTACCCAGTTCTGTTTAGGATGAAATGCAACAAATCCAGACTCTCTGTGAAGTCAGGCCATCCACTAGGAGCTGCCAATGATGACCTCTGTTTCCACTAACTCCTTCCACTGTACAACAAGCCTTTTGGGACAACTGCCATTCCAATATGTCTATATTAGGTAGACAGAGGCTGGAAAGTAGGGTTGTGCAACCCTTTGACGTGCCTTACACACTCCACCCTATATCCATCCACTTTCTTTGCCACTTCCTCAGGGCTCCTCTTGAAATCCCTGGAGTCCTGGATAAAACTGTAGGCTACTGTGCACGTCAGTACAGAGCCTGGCGTTAACAAGACATCTGTCCACTTCTCAGTTCTAACCCAGTTTAAGGAAACAATCAAAAGATCAACCTTAACTAAAACAACAAAAGAAAAATACTGGAAAAAATAGAGGATTTTTTTTTTCTTTAGGCTAAAATTTACTCCACTTGTAAATAAATTAAATTGTGCATGCCAAATAAAAAAATAAAAAATTAACAGTAAAAGTAAACAGTCCGTGTGTTTGAGGATCTGCATTATT